TTTAGGATGCGGGTTTAGTCTTTTAGGGTTATAAGCTCAGCAGCGTTTATCGCTGTTCACGATTCAATCATATTTTTCGGTCTTTCAGAGACTTTTTGTTACTAAATATAACAAAATTGACTTGCTAGCTAGTGAAAATAGCGTAGCAGCAAGTTGATGGTTAAACTCAGATGGGCATCGATCGCTATGCGATTCATTCATTCGTTCCAATGATAAATTGGTACTAGTACACGCTTCGGTATCGATCAGGTATCAGCTTGCTTCTAAGCAACCCTCGAAAAAATAGTGAGTGGAAGCTATGCTGACCGAAAGACCTGGTTGGCAAATTATCACCATCCGGATTGCTTCCAAATTTGCCTTAACTTTTTGCTGAAAAGAGATTTTGCTGCTCGACTTTGAATTGAAGCGAATTTCTGGCCTCTCTTTTCCCGTCCAGCGCTAACGCTCTCTCCTCTCCCTCTGGCACATCCTGGTTCCGCAGTCTTGGCAGCCCCGCTTCGCATTCAAGTGCCATTTCCAATCCAATACAAATTATCAGATTATCATTTCAACGCACCATAAAGTACACGATAGAACAAAGAAGTAATCAGCTTTGGCGTATAATTGTTACTGTTACGGTATAATGTCTGGATGCACCGAAATGGCCGGACGGACCACAGTGATACATTCATTGCTCCGATAAAATGTTCCAGGACATGAAAGCGGCTGAATTGAACAGAATTGACGTGAATGTGGAGAAGTACATGGATCGAATCTGGGAGCTCGCGCATTCCGAAGAGTATCAGAAAATGGATAAATCGTTGTTGAAGGATGCCATTAAAAGAGACAGCAAGGAGCAGTTCAACGAGGTGACCATGCCTCCGCTGTCTGATGATCCCGACGGTCATTGTGGTTTCACAGAGTTAAAAAGCCACAAGCCGAACACTGAAAGACTAAAATCCAGGCTATATCACATTAGGCTTACCGATGCTATAATGCGCTTTTGCGCTAATCTTGCAAACCGCTAACAGCAGGAATGGTTCCTAAGTTGTAATTTGACATTTGGACTCATACTGACTGTATTTTGACCTTCTCCATAACACTCGCTTCCACACACATACACACACACACACATACACACAGACGACCTCCCGACAATATGCGTTTTTGCTGGCTGTAAAGCAAAAATACACAAAAACGTCAAAATGATGAAAGTCAAAATTGTGAGAGGTGGAGGTACTCAAGCAGTAATTTATGTGGTGGCAAATGTCATCAGCAGTCTACTAGCCGGCATTGCTGTCGACATTTTCCCCTTTCTTGAATAGTTTACAAGCAAGGTGATAGCAAATTTGTCGGCCTGGCATGCGCAAATAAAAATTTGCTTTTGGAACGAATAGAACTAATCGTAGATGGGCTGGTTATCCCACTGACACAACTGAGCCACCGACTAGGGAAACAATACATTGCAGCAGTACCTGACAAAGTCTTAGGTTAAGATACTAGAGTATTACAATTTAGGGATGAGACACAGACAGGACAACAGCGAATGCACGTGCAGGCTCGCTTATATGGGATTTCTAAACTGGCACTTCCTGCTTTCCTACAACTGTCAATATTCGACTGTGTCCCTCTCATCGGCGGGCC